TTCGCCATTTTACTTACAAGCGCTTTTTTCTGCCAAACGCAGCCTGTGTAACAAAAATTATTACTTCAGTTGTCAACTAGCGACATCTAGTAAGGGTAAGATAATTCGCCCTCATTTGCGTGGTCTCATCGCGCTTCACAATTTGTTGCTCACCTAGGACTAAGTCAATGAGTAAAGCTATGAGTCCTTATACTTATAGTATATTATCTATGGCTATGAGTATCAGTTAATGAATTATGTTAAGGAAAACATACAAAAGACAGTAAAGATAAGAATTATAATATGTGTATTGTCTTTATTTATAAATAGATAGAAAAACGTAACTGAGCTTTACCATTACGGCAACGAAAAATAAATAAAATGAATAAATACTTACATACATTATGTGCTATCTTTGTTTCTAGAGCAAAAATATTTACCTAGCTTTTGTAGTGTTAAATTATTTACAAATTATATTAGGTAAGAAACCTGCTTATGTCTCTTGCCAATAGTTTAACCAATGTTTTATTGTTAAATAATATAGCTAAATTAGAATAAAGCGCTATGTTATAATAATATTAATATTACCGTCCCACCTACTTTGGAATGTTAAAAAAATATCTATAATATACCTATTGTTTTGTTTGTGCTCAGATCACATTTTGAGAACGCTAATTGCATTAAACACACTTGATCAAACTTTTTAAAAATAGTTTGTTCAATAAACAATAGTATACATAATATTTTGGAGAGACACCGGTAACAGTAGAATAAAAGTAAGAATTGTATAACGACCAGAGTTTACCAACGCTACTTTCTGATCATCCAGCAGCAAGAAAGTAAACCCCCTAGCTGATACCACGGATACTACGGATACCTGTTAATGAAATGAGTTACAATGTTGTTATTAATGTTTTATTATTATATGTTTTGCATGTTATAGTCAAATAAAAAGAAACCTGTTAAACTTACTTTAGTTATTTTATTAGATTACTGTGACAGATGTTTTCCTTAGAAATTAAATTATGAAATAAACGTTGAAATTAATTCGCATATATTTTTCTTTGGTAATTAAATGGTACGGTTGTACTTTTGCCAGTGTCAAGTAATAAGAAATTATCCTTTAAAGTAATTTTGCAACAGTTGACTTGTGCGCAGGTGCATTATCCAGATGAAAAAGGATTTTTTTGGCAATTCCGGCCGCTTTTCAAGAATTTTATCAGCTAATTTATCTAACTAGTTAGAATAGTATGAGCGTGCTATAGTGTGTCCTTTGGAAAGGTAATCAAATAATTCCTTAAATAAAAATAAAAATAATTCCTCCACACCTATCTGCTATCTTTTTATACGACAAAGAAATTTAAATATGTATACTATAGAGCGGTCATTGAGAATATATTCATACAAAAACCTCGCAACCAACCAACTCGCGCGTGTGACGCCCCCTAGCTAAACATAGCATAGCTACTCTGAATATTTATTCGGAAAATATTTCAGCTATTCCCCAAAAGTTGAAGCTAATAATTTCTTTATCGGTATGGGTACAGTATCATTTACTGTTTCACCCGTAGACAGAGAAACCTATAGACACCGTCATAGCGTGTCGCAGAAAGAGACAAAAAAAATACGTCACTATATTTAGGGTTACAAGTATGAGGAAAAATTTACCCCACAACTAGCTATAAAATTAGAAATTAGTACGTGAAGTAAGCCTGAAAGGGAACACTGCTATTAACGATTATCATTGGTATGTATTGTAGTTGATGGAGAGCTAAGTGGACTGTATTTGACTAATTATTTATTATAATTTACTTTTGTGAAGAAAGAAGAAACTAAAAAATTGTGATATCTATCTGACTAATAAACTAAAAGGAACTATTGTGTAAATGAATGAGAGCTAATTGGACTGTATTTATTTAGGTTGTGTTTAAATCTTGAAGAAAGAAAATACTGAACTAACTGTTACCAGCCCTCTGTCACTCTTGCTACCTGCGTGAAATAATTACCTACAATCGCGAGGCATACAGGGCAGGCCTCTGTCACTCTTGCAACCGGCGTGAAATAATTACCTAAAATCGCGATTTGGGTGAATTTGGGTGTAATACGCAGTCGGGGCTAGCGCGTTGTAGACGATTGATGTATTTTTAACGCTGTTTACGTAAATAGTTTTTTGTAAACACTTGTAATTTTTTTCAGCGTTTAGTATTTAATTGTAGGATAAAATAGTTCAAAAAAATTAATGTGATTTAATAATAATATATGTGTATGGCAAAACTTCGAACCTACTATAATTGTTGCGTCCGACGACTTTCAAATAATTTGTGGGTACGATACGCGCGCCACCTAGTGTAAGTTAATTGTACTATACCTATAACCTTCGCGCAAGTACAAGCAAAACATTTACAAAGTTTTAGCGCAATCAGTTAAATAATGTGGCAGACGGCGCGTAAAATACGAACAAACAAACATTAATTTTTTAGGGTTAAGTGCTCGTAGTTTTTATGTAACAGATTATATTTTAAACGACAGACAAAAAAAGCGGCTACTGCAGCCCATGGGCATCTGCAACAAACATCAAGCACAACAGGCTACAAATTCGTTGTCACCTCTGAGGACTAAGATGGAATTCCTCACAGCCTGTAAATATACCGGCTCTCTATCTCCTCCAGACCGGAACACAGTCCCTACTGTGTAGTCCAGTACTGTTATTGGGTGACAGAAATGAATAAGACAGTGGTTTGCAGCTAGACGGAATTGTAGGCGGAGAAAGTCTTATATGAATTTTTTTTTGCGCGGAACCCTAAAATAAAAATAGCCTAAGTTACTCCTTATATCAACAAATTTCCGTCCTTATGACATCAAGTCCCATCCAAATCGGTTCAAAGGTTTTTACGTGATGCGTGTTCAGACAGACGTCGTGTTAGAGTTTTATTTTAGTATAGAAGATAGATAGATATACACATATAACATAAACACTCACGCCTGTCATCCAGAGGGGTATATTATAGTAGGTTCGAAGTTAGGCAGTGACTACGGACTTCCATTTGGCACGATCCTGACATATCTCTCTCGCCTCCTTTACATCCAAATATCTACGCGTACACGCTCGTTGGTCAAGAGTACTTCTAATGTAGCTCATTTTCAAAATATAGCCAATTTAGTCGATACTTTCGTCTAGGGCGTCTAGGGCAGCCAAAGGCACAATTTACATAATACAATAAATAAATGCAAATAATAAAGTGCAACTTACGTTCATTAACAAACTTCTCATCTTATTTGGACTTAGGATGCTTTCGTTTTTGATAATTGAGCGGAACAAAAGCATAAATCCAGATCAGATTGTATACCTTTGAATTAACCTGGACTTAAAACATGTTAACGAGTTTGAAAGCATGTAGTTTTTTTAGTTGGACTTAAAAATACTATACCACCAAGTAGATCGTTATTTTTTTGTTTCAATGACATTACAAAGTGAACGTCGAAAAAAAATGGACTTAGGATAATACACCTTCGGTATGCAGATATTATTATTTCCTATAATAGTGGGTAATAATTTAAAGAAAAGTTGGCCACACCGAAGATTTTAGGTTAAAATTTGCAATTGTTATTTTTGTACTTTTTTAACGATAAATTTACGTCTAGAGTACATTTTACACAATGTATGTATTTTATTAAATGTTACAGACTGCCTAGTAACCGATAGAGTGGTATAATTACGAATGAAAAGACAACCCCGCCATTTTCCTTTCACTATCACTTTTACACCCTAATACACTACACCGCACCATGTTTTAAATAAAAATGGTTGGAATACTACGTCTTAATCGTTCACAACAAAATATAATATGAAATACTTATCATAAAACACGTAAAACAGTATTTTATACAAAAAAATTATCACGCTACACGTTAGCTGTCAAACTTTATTTAGCAAAGTGGTTTGCTAAATATTAAAAAACGCGACACGCTCAGCGAAACAAAAAATCTCATCGTTCTTTCTCATTTCTTTACACGACATCGGCGTAAGTTGCTCTTTCTCTTGTGTGACTGCGATAAAAGATATCGCTTTGTCTATAGGTTTCTCTGTCTACGGTTTCACCTCCTCAAATATTGTAGATGATTAAATCGGCGTCGTGTATAATATTTTTATCGATAGCACCAATCGTTAAACGTTGTCAATCACTAACTAATTTGATTAATAAATAGTGACGTTACCGGATAACAGAGGGCACTTATTACAATAATGATAAATGTACTAGAACAATCTACCAGAAATAAAAAATAAATAAAAAATATTGGGTAAATATACATTACACTTGCGATAATAAACCGAAATCACATTCGGTTTTTGTTCTATATCGGGACTTACCTTTATGTACAATCAGCATATTTGCTTTAAATATTTCAATTTAGGAGACAAATGCATCTTCATTCATGCATGATGATGTCACTAAGACTTATATGATATAAATTCGAAATATATCCTATAGCACAAAATTAACACAACCTTTTTGTACCTGATGTCCTGTCTATTTACTACTCCTACTTAAATATTATACGACCAGTTCTTCGCGTGATGGTAAAACTTTTCTAGATTTGCTTCATTCATTAAATTTATTTACGATTTTAATGATTTCTTTTTCATTCAAAGGGTTATACTCAGAGGGATCGCGTTAAGAAAAAAAGGAGAAAAATTTCTACCATTAAGTGTGACAAAATGGGTAAGGTAGGCAAATTAAAGAAGGAATAAACCGTGTTATATATTTTAAATCAACATTATTTGTTTATGTTGTGCAATATAGAGCCGTCCAAGACCATTCACTTCACCTGTGCTACCGAACGCACCCTATGCGTTGAGGCATTTTATTTCTATTGTTTAAAGACTAGAAATATTAAATACCTAATTTCCGATTGATACATCTTACCCATGGAGGATATGGGGAGATGGATGGATCCTGAGACGCCACCATGCGGCAAAAAATAGATAAAGATAAATAACGATTTTAATAATTCACTAAATATTAACAAACCATTAAATATCTCTTCTGTGATGGTATATTTTTAATATAGCCATTATAAAAATCCAAAGCCGTTATCTCTCTTTTACCAACTATTCTAAGTGATTTAAAATAAATATATTTTCTGTCTCTACACAATATCCTTATGGCATTAGTTTTCTTACAATATTCTATAGTACCAGGGGGTTTATTGGATTGTTCAACTTCTTCAAAATTGTCCAGAAATGCATTAAACAGTTTTAGTTCTTTGTCTCTAAATCTCGTTTTAAGAGGATACATTCCATAGATTGCTCGGTATAAATTGTATACATCCAAGGCATTCATTTCTGTCCATCTCACTTCACTTATACTTTTATTGATTTTTCTCGCTGGAAGAAATAAATATATACAGAAAATTTTATCTTTATTTACATCTGTATTAATGAAGTAAGTAAGTGTAAATTAACTCTAAAGTAATAAAGTAAATAACAATGACTAAATTCCATACAACTTACGCAAAACGCAAATCGGGCAGTAAGTTTTTCAAATCAAAATACAATTATTTTTGAGATATATACAATTTTCGCTAGACAGGTAGTAAAGTAGTAATAGGTAGTAGAAAATCATGTCTATATGTGCAAATGCTTATGCATTTGCTTCTCGTAAAAAGTTTGAAAATTGTATTACAATCATGCATAATTTAGTAAAAAATATGTAGTTCTGATGCGAAATGCTCCTCAAGATGAACAAATCCATGGAGGATGGACGCTTACCCGCTGATTAGAAGAAAGCTACAGTCGTACCTATTTATAAAAACGGCGATAAGATGAGACCTAGTAATTACAGACCAATACGTTTGACAAGTATCCTCTGTAAAGCCATGGAAAAGATCATAACTGAAAGATTAAGAGAATTCCTATTACAAGAATAACTGATTTTAGATTAACAGCACGGGTTTGTACCAAGGCGATCAATCATTACAAATATGTTACAATGTGTTAATGAATGGGCCTCAAACCATGACAATGGATTACCTACAGATGTGATATATCTTGACTATGAAAAAGCTTTTGACCGTGTACCATTACGGCGACTTATATGCAAATTAAAACACTATGGTATACGCGGGAAATTGTTGGCCTGGATCAGTGATTTTCTGTCAGACAGAACATTCTGCGTAAGAGTTGGAAGTACAATGTCTAAACCCAGGGAAGTACTCAGCGGAGTTCCGCAGGGATCTGTTCTAGGACCATTATTATTTATCCTATATTTATCGGATTTGAAGAGCACGTTACAGCTACCGGTCTCATTATTTGCCGATGACACAAAATTTTTTGGGAACCCAATAACGCAACATCAAGTTATACAACAGGATCTAAATGCCATCTGCGATTGGACTAGTGATTGGCTTCTAACACTGAACGCAGACAAGTGTACGGTTCTACATATTGAGAAAAACAATCCACGAAATACATATTGTTACGAGCTTGAGGTTCGTGACAATAAAAATTGCCGATAGGATTACCTAAATTAACACTTTAATTTTCTTTACACAAATTAAAAATTAAAACACTAAAAATTAATCACACTGATTCACTTTATTTCGCTCCGAAGCTTCGCTTGTCTCGCCGAATTCAATACTTCCCCGATCGCACCTTGCAGCGCCTATAAATACACATTAGTACCGAATCATCCAGAACATTCAAGTAAATACGTGCACCAATCGACAAAGCGCCAAAATTTCGAGAGTCAGCTTCCAGAAGCTTAGTTCTTCATTTCTACAACAGATGGCGCCGTCGGTTGAAAGATTAGTGATGTCATTTTCTGGAAAGCTCTCCCCTCGCTCCGTTACCCGACACTAGATGGCGCTATTGCCAGATCTCAACTTAGCCGCGCAACACTGCCCCCTCCTAAGACATGCTCGTCCCGAACATTATCGGCCCCATAATAACGCGCCAGGCGATCCACATGGACGATCTTAGGAGTCCCTCTTGCGCCCTTCTGTATCCGATAGGTTACATCGTTGATCCTGGTCACAATCCGGTACGGGCCGTCCCATTTAACTTGAAGCTTAGGAGATTTCCCTTTGCTGCGGACCAGATTGTGCAACCACACTAGTGAACCTTCGTCGAACCCTTTGTTGTTCATTTTGCGGTCATACCGAAAAGGTGAAATTTCATCTTTTCAGACAATTTGCTGGCCCGATTGTCTGACGTGTTCATAAATGTCATTCATTTTGTTCCGCAAGTCATTTGCATAATCGGTTATACTGCGTGGGGCATCAGGTGGTATCCCGGTGATCAGGTCCGCAGGCAGCCGTAATTCTCTTCCAAAGTTTGCGAAAGCTGGTGTCACTGATGTACTTTCGTGAACAGCGCTTCGATATGACAGCAAAAACGGTTGTATGTGCTTATCCCAATCTCGCTGCCGGTTGTCTACAACTTTTTCTAGGTACCTCTCCAATGTCTGATTAAATCGTTCTACCATTCCATCAGATTGCGGGTGATAAGAAGTCGTTCTTGTTTTATGAGTACCCATAACTCGGCAAGTTTCCTGGAATATTTGAGACTCAAAATTCCTTCCTTGATCGCTGTGAATCTCTAAAGGTACCCCAAAACGACAGAAGACTTCATGAACTAGTTTATCTGCAACTGTTGAAGCTTCTTGATTTGGAATGGCAAAGACTTCTGGCCACTTAGTGAAGTAATCCATCACAACCATGAAATACTTGTTACCGCTTTCACTCTCCGGAAACGGCCCCGCCACATCAATGGCTATTCTCTCCCATGGTGCACCAACATTGTACAACTTCAATGCACCTCTACTACGAGTCTGAGGTCCCTTTACAGCCGCACAACTTGTACATTTGCGACACCAGTCCTCGACATCGTTTCGACAGTGGACCCAGTAAAACCGTTCTCGGATCTTCAGTAGAGTTTCGTTTAACTCCCAGATGACCTCCTGAATAATCATTATGGTACAGCTGTAGAACATCAAGTACTTTAGCTTTAGGGACAACCATTTGCAAATGACAGCTGTCTCCCCGAACATTTTCCCATTTACGGCACAGAACTCCATCCTGAAGCAGCAAGCTGTCCCACTGGGCCCAATAGCTTTTAGTGGTCGAACTCATCGCTGAGACGTCGCTCCACTTGGGCTTGGGAGCACTGGCCTTCATCCATTCCAGAATCGGCTTGATGTCCGGATCTTCCTGCTGTGCACGTTGTAAGCTGTCCTTCCACTCGTTGCTGAGGTGGTCTGCCCCGAGCATTCTCACGGATACCACTTCCTTACTCTCTTGCCTAGTACAATGTTTGCAATCTTCAGGACAAGGTCTTCTTGACAATGCATCTGCGTTGCCATGAGATTTCCCGCTGCGATGTTCGATCTCAAAGTCGTATTCCTGCAGTAGTTCAATCCACCTCGCAACTTGTCCTTCTGGATTTTTAAACTGCAATAGCCATTTTAGTGCAGCATGGTCAGTGTCGTAGGTGAAATTTTCGCCCCAGAAGATCGATTTGCTAAAATGCTGCAACGACTTTACCACAGCTAGCAATTCGCGTCTTGTAACACAATAGTTCCTTTCCGGTTTTGACAAAGACTTGCTTAAGTACGCTATCACAATCTCTCGATCACCGTTCCGTTGAGACAACACACCGCCGAGCCCTGTATCACTTGCGTCTGTGTCAACTATAAATTCTTTGCTTGCATCAGGGTATCCCAAAATAGGTGTTTTGCACAGACGGTCCTTGAGCTCCTGGAATGCGATATTGCAACTTTCATCCCAGCAGAAATGTCGCTTCTCCTCGGTTAGCTTATGCAGAGGTTTGGCTATATCTGCAAAGTTCTTCACAAATCGCCGGTAGTAGGAGCACAAACCCAAAAATGCTCTAACCTGCGTCTTGTCTTTTGGAACCGGCCAATCCTTGACAGCGGCGATTTTCTCTGGATCCGTGCGGATACCTTCTTCCGATACTACATACCCCAAAAAGTTAACTTGCCGTCTGAATAGTGAACATTTCTTCGAACTCAACTTGAGGTTGGCACTCTCAATCTTCATGAGCACGCGTTCCAGGTTTTGAAGGTGTTCCTCAAACGTACGGCCCACGATGATGTGTCATCCAAGTAGACCAGACAGGCATCGCCAATTAGCCCGGCAAGTACAAGTTCCATCAGCCTTTCAAACGTTGCTGGAGCATTGCACAACCCAAACGGCATTACTTTAAATTGCCACAGACCCCTTTCCCGTCGAGAACGCAGTTTTCTCCTTGTCCTTGGGGTCAATTTCAACTTGCCAGTAGCCACTTTTTAGATCCAGCGTGCTAAACCACTTTACTCCTGTAAGCATGTCCAGCGTGTCATCAATTTTGGCAAGGGATAGCTGGCCTTCTTCGTAACGTCGTTCAGACGGCAGTAGTCAACACAAAACCGCATGCTGCCATCCTTCTTCTTTACCAGCACCACTGGTGAACACCATGGACCAGAGGAAGGTTCAATAACACCATCCTTTACCATTCCTTCAATCATGGTTTCCACTTCCTTTTCACGTGCTACCGGCAATCTTCTTGGCCGCTGACGGATAGGCAATTCTTCTGTGTTTATTTTGTGTTGAACTAAGCCAGTCTTTCCTATGTCAGCATCGTTTGATGAGAATACATCGGCATACTTGAGTAACAACTTCTTCGCCTTGACCATTTCGGTCGGGGGAGAGAACGCTGCGACAGTCTTCCAAAAGTGAGGTCACTCTCGTTTGTGCATCCTTGCTGGGGGTCTCACTCGATAGATATTGGCACCGACGTAACCAATCCACTTCCTCACAAGTACCAACCAGCGTGCCTTTTTCTATAATCTGTTCCCGGTCACAAAGGTTCAGCACACGTACTCCTGAGATGCCAGTGATTCTGACCAAGGTTCGAGCTATTTTCCATGAAAGGTCATTATTTACCCTTTCCACAAGTACACAACGGTGAGCTTGCCCAGCGTTTCGAGGAAGACTAACCGGAACAACCGTTTCTGATCTCGGCGGAAGAACAATCTTCTTAATGCTGTACACGTTCCCTGGTAACGCACCTTCCATAAAAAGTTCCTCCTTTCCACATTTCAAAACACCTTGCTCAACGTCGATCTCACAACAATTATTCCTCATAAAGTCCAGGCCTATGATGCAGTCGTCCATTATATCAGCCACGATGACATTATGCAGGTAGATCACGTTGCCTAGCTTCAACTCCATCTCCTTCTCCACGCCACGGACGGGTATACGCTGACCGGTGGCTGTTACCAAATTAATGCGTTCTCGGTTGTATGCGGAGTCCCCAAGGAACTGACTTATAAGTTAGGAACTAACAACCGTACGAGAGGCTCCAGTGTCTATTGTCAGTTTACACGG